AAAGAAAATGTTTTGAGAATGATGGCAACAAATGTGCTTGACACAATGGATGGATGGATGGATTGTGATAAGAGTTGTATGAGTCCCACATAAAATGATTTTAAAAATAAATTGATGGAATAGCTACTATAATATTTCATTAAGTTGATTTAGCTTAGAAATACTCAACTAGCCTATGGTAAGAAATTTGGAAGACATCTATATGGTTAATCAATGGAAAGAGATCTGTATTTGTGCCCATTCCAAAGAAAGGTCACCCTACAAAATGTAGAACTTTTGAACAATATCATTAATATTACATGCAAGTATAATTTTGTTGATAATTTTAATATGGTACATTGATAGAAAAGTTAAGCTGGATTCAGAAGAGGATGTGGTAGAAGTATCATTGCTGATGTCAGCTGAATCCTGGAAGAAAGCAGAGAACGCCAGATGTTTACTTGTTTTATTGACTATGCAAAGGCATTTGACTGTGTGAACCATAATCAACTATGGGTCACATCCAGTACACTTAAGTGTGCTAATGTGACACCTTTACACAGACCAAGCGACAGTCATTTGAGCAGAACCAGTGAATTCTACATGGGTTACAATCCTGAAAGACGCCTCAGGGTTGCATCCTTTTACCATACTTACTTCATCAGTATGCTGAGCCAATAATCTGAGAAAGTGGATTTTTTGAAGAAGAACACCACATCAAGATCGGAGGAATGTTCACTATCAACATGTGAGATGCAGAGAATATAACATTTTTTGCTGAAAATGAGGAGCACTTGAAGCACTACCTGATGAAAACAAAAGACTGCAACCTTCAGTGTGGACTGCAGCTCAATGTAAAGAAACCAAAAACCCTCCCCACTGCACCAGTGGACCAGGATAACCAGTCTTTTGAAGCACTACCTGGTGAAAACAAAAGACTGCAACCTTCAGTGTGGACTGCAGCTCAATGTAAAGAAACCAAAAACCCTCCCCACTGCACCAGTGGACCAGGATAGCCAGTGAGAAGACTAGAGTTGTCCAAGATTTCATTTTTCTTCAATCCACAATCAACACGCAGGGAGACTGCAGCCAAGCAATCATAAGATGTATTGCACTGGCCAAATCTATTGCACAAAACCTCTTGAAAGTATTAAAAAGCAAAGATACCTATTTTAAAGCCACTAAAATCTCATATTCTCAGTCCTGCTCACTCCAATCATTCCTGATCTCAGAATGAAAAGTCCTAATCTTTTTTTTTTTTTCGTACAAGGATGGAAGGTACAGAAAGAGTAACTGTAATTACCACAAGTGGTAATGCAGGCCCTAATGGAATAGTGGTTATGTGTTGGGCTGAGATTCCCAAGGTCAGCAGTTTGAATCCACCAGCTGCTCCAAGGGAGAACGTGGGCCTTTCTATCTCCTCAAAGAGTCACAGTCTCGGAAACTCACAGGGGCAGCTCTGTCCTGTTTTCAGGGTCGCAGTGAGTGGAGTGTGAATAAAGGAGCCATGGTAGCACTCTGGGATAAGCATTAGACTCCTTATGGAGGAAGTGTTAGAGCAGGCAGTTAAACAGAGCCAGAAAAAGGAGAGGGAGAATACAAAGCTGGCCACATTCAAGTTTTATCAATTATCTCTTAGTTATTTTTTGTGTGTGTTTGGGTTTTTTTGGAGCAATTTATTAACTTCATCCCCTACCCCCACGCAGGGTTCAGTACATTATCACATAATATGATTAATTACATCCTTACAGTTACCTTTAATCTGAACAACCTCTTAACCTTCCTTTCTCTTTGTTGACCTTGACTTTTTGCATGGTCTCTCCCAGCTACTGGGCAGAAGATTCCTCAGTCTGTCTCCTGGTTTGGGTGATTAGATTCAGATTCTTTCCTTTTGTCAAGAACACTCTGGCCCTCGGTTCATCATGTCGGGAGCGACCCAGTTGGTCCTCACGATGATAGCATGAATCAGCTGTACTGGCCGGGCTTTCTACTGGAATAGAACTATTTTTCCCTTCGTAAGGAAGGCATATTTTATTGGCAGATGCTTTAAGATGATGTGAATATCCTTTATCAAAATTTCACCTTTCATGATTTTTAACTTATTCATTATTTGCATATACAGTAGTGTTTAAAACATAAGTTATATGTGTATATTTGTAGACATCTATGGATATTTGCTTATGCTTTTATGTGCAAAGTGATGGACTTTTTGTTTGCCCTCATATTACCAATTCCATGAGGTCTAAGTTTATCAGCTGAGGTGATAAACTGTCGAAGATTTTCACAAAATCACATTTATTTGTCTTTTTTATTGTAGTAAATACACTACTCTGCTCACAGATAGTGAAAACAGGCTTTTACTCTTCCCATCCATGTAAGTACAGTTCATTTTCTAAAGTAATTTATTTTCTCAGGAAAAATAACTATTATATATATATATTTCTTTTTCTTGGTGTTTTATTATACAAAGACTATTGAAAGTATAGCAGACACCCAAAACAATTATTCAATGATACCATCATGGAATTAATATGTATCTATTTATTATTTTCAAAACCTTTTTGTTGGGAGCTAATACAGATAACATATCATTCCATAGTTCAATCACATCAAGCAGTATTGTACAATTGCTACCTCAATCACTTTGAAAGCATTCTCTTTCTTCTTAAACTCCTTGATATCCCTTTACCCTAACCCAACCCTCCCCCATGAATCATATTCTTATTTGTCCAACTATATATCCCTTTTTTATGAATTTGTGATGTGTGAGTACTGTACGTTTTATAATTCCTGTATAACCATTAGTATTTCCCCAGGTTGCTCTAGAGTTTGTCTTATTTCTTCTTTACTGCCTTCTTGCATCTCACATTAAGAAGTAACCAAGGTAAACAGTGATATTTCTGTCTCCACAGCCATTCTGTGTTCTTACAAGCATAACTGTAGGGTTACGTATAGAATTTTAAAAGAAAAACATTTTCTTTTACACAAATAGGGCCATACTATTGGCTTTTTTCTGCTACTTTCCCCCCACTGAAATCATATCAGGTCCATAAATATAGATCTAATGCTTTAACACAACAGCAATATTTTATAGAATACACCTTTCTTTTCCCATTGGAGGGTGATTTGTTGTAACACCTACCATCTTGATTTTTTAGGAAACCTAATAAAAGAGTCGAAGTGATCAAGCTGAATAATGTGATGGACACTTTGTTAGAGAGGGCTGGTGTGGAAAATCAGGAATATACAGGACCAACCCAGGTAATTCCAGTATAACCTAGTGGTTAACAGCGTGCACTCTTAGAAGCAGAATGCTTAGGTTGGAATCCTGACTCAGCCATTTATTAGTCGATGACCTTGGGTAATTAATTTAATATATTTGTGCCTCAGTGTCCTAACTGTAAATTAGAAAGAGTTAGTAGATAACATAGGGTAATGTTATCTACTTCATAGTGTTGTTGTGGAGGTGAAATGATGTTACGCATAACGTGCTTAGAACCATACCTGGAACGTTGTGTGCAGTAGAGTTGGTTCTGAGTCACCGTGGCACAGTGTGTAACAGAATAAAACTCTACCTGGGCCTGTGTCAACCTCCCAATTGTTCATTTTGAGTCCACTGTGTCAATCCATCGCATTGAAAGCTTTTTTCCCTTGTTGCTGGCCTACTAGGGTGCAGTATGCTATTAGTATATTTTATTTAAATAAATATAAGGTACCATTGATTGTAAATTTCATATTATTTTATATTCCACTACAGCAGCACAGCCTGTTAAAGTACGACCAGTTAAATCGTGTTTTATAACCATGTTTAATTTTTACTTTATAATGAAATTTTTTCATCTGTAGATATAATTTTTATCTTTATATATGTTTTTGCTTTGTGTGTTTGTGTGTATGTGTGTGTAGCATGTACACCCTGGTGGTGCAAAGGCCAAGTGCTAGACTGCTAACTGAAAGTTTGAGTTGTCTCCATGGAAGGAAGACCTACCCCCATAAAGATTACAGCCAAGACAACCCGACGGGACACTCAGATTCTGTCACGTGAGGCCATGAGGCAGGGCTGACGCAAGGGCATCTAACAACAACAAATATGTATACGTAATTATATATATACATATATATGTGTAATTTTTTCTAACTATTTTAGTGTTTGAGACATTATGCTATTTATCACCAAATATGTCAAATAGCATATATTTTCTAAGAAAAAGAATTGAAGGGTGGAGAGATAAATGGCTCAGTGAGCCTCACCTTTATTGGCTCTTGCTCTCTGATGGTTGGACCAGTTGCAGCTGCCTTAGCTAGTTCTCTGCCTCATCTTGCAAGGCTCACTTCCTGGGAGATATCCCCAAGGAGAGGCCACATGGACCTACCCTGATGCAGCCCTGGGTACTGGAGAAGCCACACTGAGACCCCTGCCAGTGCTGAGATGCTTACACACTCACTGATTTGGCTTTCCTCCTGCATTCGGTATCATTGCATGTGTTTTGTGAGTTTGAGGAGGACTTTGTAGATCGATGTTGGACATAGGAGCTAAAATCAGACTTATGGGCTTTGATTGGACTGGGTTGGGATGCTTAATGTACAATTACCCTTTATATAAAACTCATAAAATATGAGTGTTTATGAATTTTGTTTCTCTAGTCTACCCAGACTAGCACACCATAATATACTTATCAAAATTAGAAAATGCAATATTGATATATTAATATTATCTTTTACAGTCTATTTTCTTTTTTAGCAGTTGTATTGGCATATAATTCACATCACACAATTCAATAGTTCAATCATATCAAGAAGACTTGTACAGTCATCACCACAGTCAGTTTTGGAACTTCTTCTGCAGTCTTTTCCTCATTGTTACTAGCTCCCCGTTTCCCCACAGCCTCCCCTGCCTTACCTCCAAGGAACCAGTACTATGTTTTCAAATTTCATCAGTTGTCCCTGCACGTCTTTATAGCTACTTTTTCTCTTAGCCTGTGACTCCAGGATTTCACAATGCTTTTAGTTGCCATGTCCTTGTGAACAACTTTAATTCTCACCCTTCCTTTGTTTTTTCTTTGTTTTCTACTGGAATTTTCAAGGTGCACAGATTAGTTTTTCTGTGGACTGTTCCTAAATTTAGACTTGTCTCATGTGCTCTCATGATGAGATTTAGGTTTTGCATTTTGATAGAAGTGATGCTGTGCCCTTCTCAGTATATTATGTGAACAGGTGCATGATTACACTTAAAAAATTTAAAGTCATTATTACTCGTATATATGTAAACAGGACAATGCAACCGAGAGAAATTAATAAAGGTGTGTCTAAAACGTATGCACATTCAGAGCTCTTACCTCCTAAAATGACTTTTTCTGATGTGATTGATAAGTACTGCTTGTCTTTTTTTCTGCCAGATGCACAAACTACTACACATGCTGAAGACGGAGCAGACTATTTACAATACAGTATTCCATGAGCTGATACGACAAGTCACTGTGGACTGTGCAGATAGAGGAGAATTACTTTCCAAAATCAGGTTAGAACTGCTATTAGGGCTGTTTTGACAAAATTGCAAAATATACTTCTGTACTCTATTTATAATAAGAATCCCAATCGCAAAGCTACTATATTTTCTATAGTAACAATGTAATATAGAATTTAGAAGGCGATTTCTGTTGGGATGTTTGACACCATACATCGTTACGATTGGGAGTGAAGGATTCTGTGAAATAAAGGGAAAACATGGGTGCTGCAGTCAGACATACTGGCATCTGGCTTCAAATCCTCATCTGGGTGTATGACCTTGATAAAGCCTGAGCTTATTTTTTCCTCTTTAAATGAAGACAATAGCTACTGTGAAAGTGTTCATTTATCAGTGATATCTACTGACTACCTACTCCGTGCCAAGCATTAAGTAGTGTCATAGGATTATAGTGAGGTTTAAGTTACAAAATAAGTGCTCAAGGAATTGAATTATAACTGCTATTAACAATAGAAGCCCAGGTAGTGTTAGTGGTGATGAGTTCGGCTGCTAACTGCAAGGTCAGCAGTTTGAAACCATTGCTGCTCCAAGGGGGAAAGACAGAGCTTTCTACTCCCTTAAAGAGTTAAAGTCCCTATTTAAAGATATAGTGCCTGGAGTCTTAAAGTCGTGAAGGTAAACAAGCGGCCATCTAGCTCAGAAGCAACACAACCCACATGGAAGAAGCACACCAGCCTGTGTGATCACGAGGTGTCAAAGGGATCAGGATCAGGCATCCAAGAACAAAAAAAATCAAATCTTTGTGAATGAGAGGAGTGCAGATTGGGGACCTAAGAAGCATCTGTAGGCAACTGGACATCCACTTAAAGAATCCATGACAGATGATCCCTTCAGGACCAGTGCTGAGAGTGGCGATGCCAGGAGGGAGGGTGAAAAAGGGGACCGATGACAAGGATCTACATATAGCCCCCTCCCTGGGGGACGGACAACAGACAAGTGGGTGAGGGGAGACGTCAGACAGTGTAAGATAGGACAAAATAATCATAATTTATAAATTGTCAAGGGTTCATGAGGGAAGGGGGGAGTGGGGAGGGAGGGGGAAAATGAGCTGATACCAAGGGTTCAAGCAGAAAGCAAATGTTTTGAGAATGATGATGGCAACAAATGTGCTTGATACAATGGATGTATGTATAGATTGTGATAAGAGTTGTACGAGCCCCCAATAAAATGATTAAAAAAAAAAGTTATAGTCTTAAAAACTCAGAGGCAGTTCCAATCTGTCCTTTTGGGTCACTATGACTTGGCATTGGCTTTGTGGTAGTGAGTTTTAAAAAATTATTGATTTGATAAATAGTAGTTACTATCATTCTTATGATTTTAGTACTTTATAAAAAGCAGAAAGGAATAGTAAAATCTGATTCAGGAGTTCAAATTATATCTGCAGCTCACTCTGTGTGAACCATTGGCAAATTATTAAAGCTTTCTGAATATCAGTTTCTTCTAAATGGGAATGGATAATATCAATTTCCCCTTTTCGCCTACTGTCTGATTTATTGAGGCCAAGTCCCCTTTGGTAATGCTAAGGAACCAGGAGCAAAAACATTGATAAGAAACCAGCTAAGGTTGATACTAAAAAGTTAGTACCCGGGACAGCATTAAGAGCTGAAGAATGCCAATAGAGAGAGAGGATAAGGGCAACCAGGGCCTCAACTCTCGACCAAAGAACAAAGCCACGAGGGATGGATCAGAAAGAAAAGCAAAGGAACCCAGGAGCCAACAGGTATCTGCATCTTCCCTAATGAGGATTAGGTGTGATGGGACACTTCCAACTGGTTCAGGAGTTAGGATTTCTGTGGAGAAAATAAGATAGGATCTTAAACCCAGGAAGTCTAGACCCAGGCAGATGAGTCAAAGTCAAAATCCTTTAAGAAAGGTTTAGTGAGACAGCATGGAGGCTAATAGGATCAGAGTAAGCATTTAGGATTTAGAACAGGGTAAAGAATGCACAATACAAAGTAGATAAGATTAAGCAGCGAGGTTTCAGGATGCTTGTGGCAAACATTCATGATGTGCCCGTGGATGAGGAAATACTAAACAGGTCCAGAATACTCTGGCACCAACATTTTGATAGAAGCTCAGTTGACAGTCCAGGGCCTACTTTGCACGAGAAGTTTGTTACCCTGAGCTTAGCATCTTACAGATGTTTCTTTAACTATCTGTTACATAAGATTCTGTGAGGATCCAATAAAAGTCCCCAATAAGTGGAAACACTATGCACTGGAAAATATTGTCAGACTCTTCTCTCTTTGTTGACATATCTTTGTAGCTTTTGGTTCTCTCATTGAGTGCTTTCTGATCACCTTGTGTGTGTGTGTCCTCATTCAGCTGCCTCGGAGGCCCATTGCTTTGGAAGGTGAGTTATGTAATATTCGTTTTTAGAGGGAAGATTAACTGCCAATTGAGTGTGACCTGAACAAGACTTCTCCATTACCAGGAAATAGGGATGCTACTGTGATTTCTTTTGGGTTGACAGTGTAAATATATGTTGGCTACAGGCACCAAACATTCCCTCTCACTATTATTTTTATTTTTTCCAATATTTTTTTATAAACATATTCAAGTAACTAGAAAAGTTTAAATGATTTCCTTAAATGATTTTTACTATGAACACATGTACCACCTTGAGTTCTGATATTAACATTCCCTCTGTTTGTTTTATCAGACAGGTGTGCATCTATCTGTCCCATTCAGTCATCAATTTCATGCATTTCAGAGTTTCAGACATCAGCGTTTTTTTCCCTAATTACTTGCACCAGGATTATCATTCATCGGAATTCAATCTATATTTACCCTTTTTTCCCTTTCAAGTAAAATTTACATGCACTGACATGTTTGAGTCTTGTGTGTGTTTGTTTACTTTTGACAAATGAATACAAAGTGTAACCCAAACCTTTATCAAGATATAGAGCATCACTACTCCACAAAATTCCCTTGAGCTCTTCCTGAATGAATTTTCACTTCCACATTCTAGAGGCAACCACTGCTCTTTTTTGCTACCTTAGATTAGTTGTGCCAATTCAGGAACTCCATACCCCTTTACGGAAAGCTTTTCCCATGCAGCATATGTGTTAGATTAATCCACATTGTTTCTTATATTCATTTGTTCCTCTTTGTTTCTAAGTAATTTCTCTGTATGAATATGACACATTTTATCTGTTTTCCTATTGATGAACACTAATGATTCTTATGAATAAAGTTACCACATATATATTTTTTAATCATTTTATTAGGGGCTCATGCAACTCTTATCACAATCCATACATACATCAATTGTGTAAAGCACATTTGTACATTCATTG